GGAAGTGGGCAGGCTGCTCCAGTTCCCTGCCATAGGGTCACAAGGGGAAGCTCTGCACAGCAGAGCTCTGCACTTCCTCGCGGGGTCTCCTCCTTTCTCTTCACCCAGAAGTAGAATTCAACGTCTCTGGCATGTTCACACCACCCACAAACAGGGGATGCAATGAGGCCAGCCTGGTGGAAGATCCATCCCCTGAGCCCTCTCCAGCCAGCGCCCCCACTCTCCCGGATGGAAAGGCGTAAGTCCAGTGGGAGCCAGGAGGCTCTGGCTGTCCAAGCTCTCCTCATGTCCTCCCACCACCCCACCCCACAGGCCATACCCTCACAGGCAGATGTGAGATGCCTCGTGGCCAGGACTGCCATACCCAACCAACGCCTGACTTGCCCCATTCTCTGCACAGCACCTCGAGTGACCCTGAGGCCAGGTTCCAGCCGGCATCCCCAGTGGTGACCAGATCATCTCCCGAAGCCACAGGGCCACCGGCTCTGCAGACGACTGATGACACCACCCGCAAAGGTTAGGGTACCCTGGATGGCACAGTGCTTGGGAGATGACACCTGTCAATGCCACCTGCTCTGGTTTGCCTTCATTGTGCCATTCCCCATGAGAAAGGGTGCCTGGGGATGTCACTGGCACCAAGTGAGAGGAAGAGCCCCTGGCTGGGGCAGCATGGCCAGAATCGGGCCACTCATTGCTCCATCCCCAGCCAAGATGGCATTGCAGGGGTGGATGTGGCCAGTCCTCCAGTGTGGAGATGAACCACCCCTCTAAAGAGCTGTCAAAGCTCATGGCCTCTTGTGAAGGGAAGAGGGTGGGTAAAGCCCTCGAAAGCTGGCACACACGTGGGTGTGCAGTATAGGAGCGAGGTCACGGGGGGTTTGACGATCAACCTGCCTGCGGCCCGCTGCCTGACCCATGGCAGGCACCACGGTCCCCTCTGCCCCAGGGAGAGACCCTGGCAGAGGGGACCCTAGCCCACCCTAGCTTTCTTTCCAGGCAAGTGCCCAGCTCCAGCCCGACCCACGATGCCGCCACCACCTGTGGCCCAACCCCGGAGCACCGCTCCTGCCCCGGCAGCCCCTGAGCACGCAGCCACCCCCAAAGCCCGACCGCGACGGATGGCTGGGGCACCCAGCCGAGCCCCCTCTG